CCTGACACCAGCACTTGGACAAAGACATTCACCAGCAGAGTTTGTCTGCAGCCGAGGAGGCAAATGACACGAAAAGTATCCGTGTACAGAATCCGCAGGAGGGAGTCGTCCTTCTTCCTTGGACAGAATCTTGAAGATACATTTTGCATGGCTTGGCAGTGGATCGCGGGATTGATCGGATGGCTAGCAACAAAATAAAAGGAAACAGTGCCTGAAGCTAACAAGCCGCCACCACCACCGCCACCACCGCCACCGCCGCCACCACCACCACCAACACCACCACAACCACCCTGCCCCCCCACCCCCAGCACCAGCACCACGCTCAAAAAAAGAACGAGTTAAGAATCATCCTTATCACCGACATCAACACCTGCATTAAATGCACCAATGAGTAGTACATGTGCGGCAAGTGCTCGAAAACTCATAAGCACCAGAAGCAGTAGCAGTCGCGAGTGTTAGCAAATACAGTGGGGCTGGCAGTCAGTAGGGGTGCCGGTCCCGCAGCAGCATGGGCAGCAGCAGGACTACTGCTACGACGACGGAGTGTTTCTACTATTGGGTCCATGCTCGAAGACATCGAAACAAGGAGTTGTTCCTCCGGTCTCGGGAGGAAGTTGTGGGAGAGGACAGGCAAGCCGACAAAATGGAAACAACAAGCACATATACACACCAAGCATCTTCGTGAAGGTGAACTTGCGACCTCCGATGGCCCCGGTCTTTTGAGAAGATGGGCCCAAGTTCTTTGTGAAGCCATGCCTGTGATGCGAGGCTTGGGGTCGCGAGAGGGTTACTGGCTGAGCACGACGTGCTAATCAAGCTAAGTTGTGAGACCACAACAGCTAAATCAGGACCCACGTCCTGAAGCGACACTGGCAACCCCACTGCCAAAGAGATACCAAGCCAACAATTTGATGAAGCCAACACAGACAAGGAACACATCGATGAGGTACGGATCGGTCTTCTGTTCATCTAAGCACTTGTCCTTGCCATCGTCGGGGGAATAGCAGAACTGGTCCTTTTTGCAAGTCTCCTGAGCTTGCTGTCTTCTTCCCGGCTCAGATCTCACGAGTGTCTCTCTATGCAGAACTCGAGGTAGGCCAGCCAGGGAGGACATGAGGGATCTGAATGTTTGCTGTGGTGCCTCATGTCGATGTCGGGCAGGTTTCTAGAGTGCAGACCTACAAACCACTCCCTAACCCCTTGCCGGGGCCCTACAAACACAACCTCGGCACCATTTTGTACTGTGGACCTATGTGGCGACGGCTGAAAATGTCAGTGCTGTGCATCCTGATCTTATAATCCGAATCCGAAGCCGAACCCTGAAGCCCTGACTGACCCACGTCCGCGCGATACAAAGGCTTTGCGGCGTTAAAGGGATGCAAACCTTAAAGTCTCAGCGGTACAGTTCGGATACTGGGCCGGTTGATGCATGAGATAACACTGAAATAATCGAGAGTGGTTGGCCTAGACGCGCAAACTTGGGCTTGCGGGGACAGATCTGACCAGCATATCATACGTAAATGATGAGAACGACTCATTACTACACGTATTATGCTTATGCTTGCTGCTATTGCAACAATTGCCACCAAAACGAACTGCCACCACCACTACTATCACCACTCCCGCTGCGACTGTGACTGGGATTGCGAGGATGAATTCAGATTGGTAGGAGCATGAACGCCTGTGTAGCCGGTAATCGTGGCGTCGCCGATCGCATGTAAAAAAAGGGAAGGAGCATCTAGTAGAACGGATGAAATAATTAAGAGAGTCAGCAACAGCTAAACAAGTATGGGTGCATATCATGTGTATACATCTTGTTATTTCTATCATTGTTATTATTATATGTACCTAAATGCATACATGCATCCTTACAGTGAAGGAGCATCTCGCAGTCCAATTCCTACGTACCCAAGAAATCTCCGTCACACCCCTGAGTCTCTCGAGACCATTTTCTTGCCCGGTTTGGTAGATTGAACATGAGCCAACAATGCGAGAAACACCATAATTAGCCTCCGTAACATCATATTACATAACGAGGCGCCGACTCACATGTGCAGTCGTTCCCCACGGGGATGTACTCGCTCACGGGACACTTTGGTAATTCGGCACGCAGGAGCGCCCCTCTGGCCTCTTCAGTTTGTGCTCGCCGCTCCATCATCCTCGGTAGGGGCTGATGTCATGTCGGGTCAGGGCCTCCCATAGGCGTTTAGCGCTCAAGAGCTTGGGCCAAGGGTGTGGGTTCGGAAAGCGGACCTGCAGGACGAGCCTGCGCAGCAGGATTTTGGGTTCGGGTAATCAAGGGAGATGGCTTGGGGCCTGGGGACACAAGTCAGGAATGTTGGCCTTACTTGTCTCTTTTTGGCCTGGATTTGCAGAGTCCGCCAGAAAGGACGAAAGATAAGCGCATACCCTCACAATGTAAAAAGTGCTAGTATTTGTTATAGAGTTTTGATAACTTCGAGCCCAACGTGCTCGACAAGTTTAGCAGTGGGCTTAGAGGGTGGAAGGGAACGGAAATTTTGACAAGAACGACGCAAAAGAGAACAGCTGGCGGCCATTGTGAAATGAAATTGTACACCCACTTTCTGCTGGAAGTGCCATGACTTGGAAGGCCGACCAAAGTTGGCCGAAAGCAGGTTTGACTCCAATCCCCGCTGCTTGCAGCGAATGTGTCTGCAAGTTGCTCGTCGCTGAGGCAGACCTTAGACTCGTGACGGTCCGCAGCCTTCGTCACCCCAACCGTTGACAGGCGCAGTGGTAAGCAGGGCTGGGTGAAGCAAGCGGCAGGTCTCGAACATCGCCGTTGGCATCCACCGACACCTCCTCCAAAGGCAAACAAGCTCCAACGTCTGAGCGTTTTCGCCATGACCCCGATGTGGTGAAAGACAACGACTGCCCGAAGAGCCACATACACAATTCTGACGTACTGCGAAGTCTCTGCTCCGATACCACGCAACCTTGCATCCTACAACAGCCGAGGGCGACAACAGCAGTCCTGGAATGCGAAGGCATGAGCGATCGACAGCCACTCAAGGAGCAGCAAGCTCCCAGCTGTCATGAGCTGTATCATGTGGATCAAGTAGACAAACTTACGGACTCGGCCGCAGGGCCATGCTAAGCCAAAAGCCGGAACGGCTGCGGAGTCGTGAATTGATGGGATGGCGCAACTCAAAACACAACAGCCTCGCTCGCAAGTGGAGGTACAAAGTAACGGCTCCTTTCCAACAAGTCAAAAGAAAAGTTTGGAGAGGCTGACAAAACGCCCGAGCAGCAAGATACGTGAGAACCCAGACGGCTCCTAAGAACTACAGGCATCACAGACAGACTTCGTCAACATGCTGAGGCCTGCCGAAGTGTCAGAGCTGGATCAATTAGGAGCTTGGCCGCCCGAGCTTCTAGGTATATTGCTTCAGGCTGCGATGTGGTTTTTCCATCTGTTCTTTCTGATGGCCGATAAGCTCTGAATCGTTGGGGGGTACATGGCACAAGCATCGGACTCTCAGGCAACACATCAAAACTTCGTTACAACATCGTGGCACAGGCCACAGGACTTGGCACCCCTGGGGTATCTCGATTCTTGCTAAAACAGGAACTCTTCAAATGTTCCGCAAACTCTGAACCGAAGTATCGGACAAACAAGCTCACACTGTGATGATACACACCCATGTCCACGAACCACATGCATCTCTGAAACGGTCCGGGTGTCTTCAGCCCAAGCATGTAGTAGTTCAAGCCAGGGCCGGCGAAAGGGCTTCTCAATGTGTACAGCTCGTACAGCACGACGCCCATACTCCAAATATCCTGCAGCAACTGATCGAACGTGGGGCATGTTAACACAACCCACACCGTTGTCAGGCAGTGCTGAGACCTTTTGCGAAACCTAGGGCACAAAGCCCTGAAGTGATGCCCAGCGGCAGACTTGAAGGAATAGCCGCCGGCATCCTGAAAGGATGTGACTCCGATCACACGCAACTGTCATGCCGTTGCTCAGCACGAAGGGTGAACACTACTACTTCTGCGCCCAAACCGATCATCCGAAAAAGATTTGACGTCCGCAGTGCACGAGGCATAGGAGTTGAATTGCACAGTTGGTGAGGGCTGCTTCTAGAAAAACATTGTATGCCACTGCAAAGACTTTGCTAGTGAAGTCATACTAGTACTAGTAGTAGTAGTAGTAGTAGTAGTAGTAGTAGTAGCAATAGTAGTAGTAGAAGTAGTGGAAGTAGTAGTCGTCTTCGTCACCGGAGCAGGAGTAGGAATAAGAGTAGTAGTAGCAGTAGCAGTAG